TACAGCAGCCATCTTCTTTTTCAACATCTTCATTAATGACCTAGATGAGGGAATAGAAGGGATACTCATAAACTCTGTGGATGACACAAAGCTGGAGGGGGGTTTGCTAATACCCCAGAAGATAGGCTCAAGATTCAAAAGGATTTTGATAGGCTTGAATGCTGGGCCTCATTCAACGAAATGTTGTTCAACTGTAAGACAACTGTTTACAACCTCTCCCAACCCTCAAATACCCCCACTCCCACCATACAGTCCTAACAGTTTTGATAGATATCTGCAAGGTTTATTTTTATTATTATTAAAATTGAAAGCATTTTTTAATTTGGACCAGTAATGTCGGAAGGCCTCTAATATAAGCCAGCTAGCTATCAGTGACAGGATATTTAATGGACACTTTTGACCTTGTTCCTCTCTCTTTCTCTCCCCCCTTAGTGGTATTTGACGACTGTCAAGAAAATCACAAATTGAACTTTGAAGTTTCAAGCCCAGACTTCAAGGTGGAATCCAATGGAGCTTTAGTTGCACTGAGAAATTTATCAGATGCTGGGAGAGCTTTATTCATCCATGCCCAGTCAGCCCAGGCAGAAGATACAGCAGAGGTATTGATTGCTGGCAGAAAAGAAAAATCTGGTTCTTTAAAGGTAAGATAAAAACAAATGTAAATCAAATGTTCCTGAAGATGTGCATAATTAGTTGGGCACGCTGTGATATGGTAACAGAATTTTCCATTTTAACAGTTGAACAAAACTATGGTGTTAACAAAAAGACTAAACTATTTGCAGGAGATAAGTTACTAAATCACAGAGGAAATTGTTCATATATTATGCAGGCAAGGCTATAAACTTATACACCCTTGTGAATATTGAATTAATTGGTTTTACTTCCAATTAAATGTATGGAGTTTTGGAGTGCATAATAAACTGCGCAAATTAATTGGACTTCACTAAACTTCATTTTACCTTTTAACCTTAAAGCCCTATCTGATTTAAGTAAAGGTCTCCAAAGTAGTAGTAAGGACCCCAATCTACAGATGCTTAATTCTTTAAGCTTCAGAAGAAATTAGAGTTGAATATTCAGTGAAGCATATGCTTTGGTTCAGAAGGACTTCCCTCTTTTCATTCTAGTTATCTTATATTACTCTAAGTAGTGTTGGGTACATGTGTCAAGATTAAAATAAGGGAAAATCATTACCAGCAGGGAAGTTCTAGGAAGATCTCCAGCTCAAAATTTGGGATGTTCAGATTAGAATCAACCCCAAATAACAATTACAATTTACAAAAACTTTGTTACATTCCTGGAGATTTTGCTCGAGAAGTCTCCAAGTAAAAAGCAATTCGCTTTAGTTTTCAACCAGCCTACAAAATGGGTAAGAAGTGGGGTTATAAGCTCTGTCACACAAAGGGCAGTGTAGTAAAACAGGCCCTTGTCAGAAGGTACATGGTACCATCTATTATGAACTAGATTCTTGTGTTGCTCAAATCACGACATAAATGTTCTTTCCTTAACAGAGGGAAACACAGACAGGCATGCCAAACTGATTATTCAGATACTGTAGATCAGAAGTGCTTAAACTGATATCCCGGGTAGGCTTGATTATGATGGCCTGAACTTCAAAACTTGTCACCAAATTGTATTTTTAATATGGCAGAAGGGGAAAACTCGTAAATGCATGCTAGAAAGTGGTAAGTACAATGCACTCTACATGGGGCTGCCTTTGAAGACCGTCTGTAAGCTTCAGCTGATCCAGAATATAGTGGTTGCTATTGATTCAAAGTGCTGATTTGCAAAGGCCTACATGGCTTGGCCTTGAAATACTTTCATGATCGTCTTCTCTAACTGGTTTAACCTACCTGACTCAGATGTTTGGGGAAAACCTGATGAAGTCCCCTACTTTTGTGAAATGCAGAGGGTAGAGTGTAGGTGATCTGATGGTGCATCTACATTTCAGGATAGGCTTCTTTCAAAATTATTTTGGAGACCTTTTGGGGAGATGAATTGACACCTTCAGTTTTGATTGACTGATTATGAGTAATTACATTTCTTCATGGGTTGCTTTTATAATTATGCTGTGGACATTTTATTTATGTATTTAAAGTTATATGTGAACTACAGAGAGTCATCTCTGATTGTGGTGGGGTCAAGTCAAGTCAAGTCATGTTAAATAAATAAATAAATAAGGCTGAGAAAAGTTTTAATTCAAAATATTCAAATCAAAAATGATTTGATCCAATGTCTGACTAATTTGCTGAATTGAATTGAAGTTTCAAACTGAATTGGATGCCTCTGAATTTATCTGATGATTCAGAAGCTCTTTTGTGCATTGCAAAAGTTTCTTTTTCTTTAACTGATTTTGGTAAACCACTGGGAGCCAGTTTGGTGTAGTGGTTAAGGTCCCAAGTTAGAAACTGAGGAACCATGAGTTCTAGTCCCACCTTAGACACAAAGCCAGCTGGGTGACCTGCAGCCAATCCTTGCCTCTCAGCCCTAGAAAGGAGGCAAGGGCCAACCACTTCTGAAATCTTGCCTAGAAAACTGCAGAGACTAGTCCAGGCAGTCGCCAGGAGTCAACACTCACTTGAAGCACCCCCCCCAAAAAAACTGGATTCTCCAAATATTTTTTAAAATTATTATTATTGCTGAATCAATTACAACAATTATTCAAAGTTATTGAAGTGGAATCTATTGCCTCACCCTGAGTAATCATATTAATTGTACTGAATATTAAACTGAAATGAAATAATGTAATTGTTGTCCTGGCCCCATTTAGGTGGTGTTGTTTTTCTGTGTTTTTTGGAAGTATAATTCCTTGCATGGCATTCAAAAGAGAGCCCTGCAGGTGGGTTGGGGAGAAGTGCACGTCTGCTCTAGACGAAATTCGACTAGTTCTACTAGAGAAGGGAAATCTGTGGCAAAGAAATTCAATGCTTCCTTTTTAAGTATCAGCTGGCATTCTGATCCAAGCAATAAGTCAACTTTCAAATATGACAGCTGAGCAGTGTCTGCTGTCTTAACATGTGATCTCCCTGACACACAAGCGGTTCCTGTGGCTGATAAGCTCAGTGTGGGAAAACAGAAGGGAATGGAAGGGATTTTCAGAAGCACAGAGAGTTTCTCAAGCTAGAAGTTTTGAGAGAAGAAGCTCAAAATAAGCCGATGAGTTAGCAGGAAGAGAGAGCTCTTACTGGAGTTTTGGAGACAAAGAAGAAGGTGATGGTTGGCAAACGAAGTTGGATTTAGGCAATTTTGGCTGCTGAAGATCTACAGGTTCCAGGTTGTACAAGGGTATGAAAAGACCACCAGAGATCCAGAGTGAAGAGAAAATCATTGTATCTGTTTGAGGTATCATTTCTACTGTGCATGGATGGCCCAAAAGAGAAAAGGATCAGAAGAAAAAAGACCAGCATTACACCAACCCTAGAAATTGCCAATTAAGAATAATTAATGCCTTCATCAACTCTAAAGGAGAGGGGGACTTAGGAATAGCTACACACATAGTACTACACTACTAGTGTAGACTGCTTCGTCTGAATTCTACCTATGGTTTGGTGTCAGGTTGCTTTATATATGTATCCTAAATATGTATTAAATGTTACTTAAATAATTCTTAGTTTTATAAGTGAACATAGGTCACTCATGAACAAACTTCTTGTACTGGTCTAAGACTGTAATAAACTGTTTTATAAGTGAACATAGGTCACTCATGAACAAACTTCTTGTACTGGTCTAAGACTGTAATAAACTGTTTTATAAGTGAACATAGGTCACTCATGAACAAACTTCTTGTACTGGTCTAAGACTGTAATAAACTGTATCTAATTATCTAACACACATAGTAGGAAGTTTAAGTTGGTCATATTTACAATAGAAATAAGCTACTTTTTACAGGCAAGAAACTGATTAATTGCTGAATGGTAGAAGCAGTTAACCTCACAAAGTAATTAATTACTTTTTATTGCATGCTAGGCTTGACTTTGAAGTCAAACACTGGCAGCAAGGGGAACGTTGGAGTATCTACTAAAGCTAAATGCTGCTTACACTAGCTTTGTATGATTGCAAGAGAAGCCAACACTTTCCTATCTATGTTCAAAAACAAACAAACAAAATCAAAAGAAGGTCACAGTGGAGTTTGTCTAGCTGGATCCTGAGAACCCAACCCTCTTGCTCACAACTTGCAAGAAACACACAATCAGCTCAGTTTAGAAAGAGCTACACACATGTTTGTTCTCCTATTCTTGAACAAGAAATGTGCACCCCATGTTGACTAATATAATCGAAGCTACCTACACCAAAGTCATTGTCGTAAAGCCAATGAGCCTGCAGAAAGAAAGAAAGAAAGAAAGAAAGAAAGAAAGAAAGAAAGAAAGAAAGAAAGAAAGAAAGAAAGA